AAGCAGGAGGAGAAGTAACTCAGGGTTGTTTATCAGGATGACTACTAACTGGGTCAGGTAGTCTTCTTCTTAGTTGTTGAGGTTTGTGTTATTATTGATGGGTACAAACTTAGACAATGCGTTGGTGTCGGGCCGAGATAAGATCTTCAGCTAATTGGATATGTTCCAGCACCTCGACATAATAACTGGATCGTAGCATCGGGACCCAGTCGTAAATATCAAAACGGAGGCTTTTTAAGAATTTCTTAACCTTACGACTCTCAAGAGTGACCATTAGTGAGGTAAACCTGATAAATCGGGCTATATACCAGACAACCATCTTATTTCTATAGCAGAGGACTTGAAATTCCTTTTCTTTCTTTTTTCGAACATAGACATGGAAGAAGTTTTCAAAGAAAGCATCTATGAAAACCTCCCAAGTGGTAGGGATAGGCAAGACTTCTTTCTTAAGTGACCACCAGTGTTCGACTTATCTAGTTAACATAAAGGCTGCTAGGAGAACCTTTTGTTCCTCAGTCAAGTCTAAGATAAAGAAAACCTTCTTTATCTGTAAGATCCAGACTTTAGCTACAAAGGGGTTGGGGCCTCCTTCAAAATAGGGTGGGTTAAGTTTCCTAAACTCAGCTATGTTATGGGAGATAGATCTCTCGGCTAGGTAATAATCAAGGGTAGGAGGGTGTTAGTAATGATTTTCTTGGTTTTGGCCTACAGTTGCGGTTAGACCTTGGATGGCTCAGAAAAACTCAATAAACTCGACCCTGATCAGACGACCCTGGGTCTCAGGTCTCTCGGTTCGTTCTACATTAGGTCTTTTTCACATCATTCCTACAAAAGAAGAGAAAGACATAAGTTGATGATCTAGTTTTCGAAAAGAAGAAATATCCGAAGTATTCTAGAGTAGTTTTCTAACTACAACCTCATTTGTAAGGACTTATTCTGTGAAACTCCTCTGATACAGTTTGTCACATCCCGAATACTAATTAAAGTATAAGAGTGTCAGGTACAGAAATATATACTAGTGCATATAAGATTAATGTATGCAGTGGAATAAAAATATCAAAATCCCTTATAAAATAATAATAGAGTTCTCATTCTTACACAAAATTATATCATGCTTTTATTTTATTTTATTTTCCGCACAAAATCGTTCTAACTTTCATCTATTGAGGGCATATGGATTCTCAACTACCCATATGAAATGACTAATTCATCTCATATTATATCAGTAATTTGCAGCTTACTAAACCAATAGCACATTTACTGCTTGTCAAACTATGACACGATCTATTACTATGGCAATGTCAACCACCATGGTCCTACATGTAAACTATGGTCACAGCCATACTTCGCCAAAAGTGATCCCTACAATCATATCGCGTCACTACTTTCGTCAGAGGGTATGCTGTCATCCACAGGAGGCGATCATCTCACATCTTTTTAGACAAGATAGGGAAAAAATAAAAATCCTTCAAAAATAAAAAGTCTAACGAAACATTTCATTTATGAACCATGCGTGCCAATACTGATAAATATTTCTCATACTTAAAATATAACATCATGCTTCGTTACTTCATCATCGTATAATATATCATGCATTTATCATGTGCAAATTAATTATTATAGTTAAACACGCAAATAACCAGTTTAAATATGTATATATAAGCATGCATTAACTCATAATAATTATATTAAAGTATATGACATTAAGCGTACAACCAACTAATTAAACCCCCATTAAATCTAAAAATATTCCTTAGTATGTAAAAATAAATATTAAATTTCTTACTAAAATCTTGGAGTTTCTCCAACGTATTTATCTCAGATAATTCTTCCTTTTCTCTATCTAACTCTCTCTCTCTTTCTAGAACTCTTTGGTGGATGGAAGAATGAAGTTGGAGTACTGAGGAAATGGTGAAGAGGGGTTCTTATTTATAAAAAATTGGAATAGTTAGATTTGCACCAAGTGGTAAATTCTTGTGATGAGAGAAGAAAGAAAAAAGTGACTTGATGCGACGCGATGAATGATAGATGCGACTAATAGATGGCTGATGTGACGACAACGATGTGATGGTGATGCAAAAGCTAGAGGCACACCGCCCAACCGTCAACGCACTGGCGGCGCACGCCCTCAAAAGGGGCGGCACGCACTGCTTGAAATAGCACACACGTCTCGTGCTGATCATGCGTGCCCGCGTGTGCAGGGGCACAGTGCCTGCACGGGTGGGGAGGCCTTCCCATGAGTTTTTTTCGCAGGATTTTTTCGTTGTTTTCTTCTCCGTTTTTTCTAAAACCTTTTTAAGTTGATTTAAACAATTTTAACAAATTTTAAAATAATTTTAAACAATTATTTAATTAAATAATCAACAAACACGTTAGTTTCAAAAAATTTTCGTAAATAAATTTTAAACCACTTCATTCGAAAATTAAAGTATAAAATTTAAATAATTCAAATAGTTTTAGTGCCCGAATAATTCGGAATTTTTTAATACAATTAAATACAAAAGTTTTGGGAGAGTTACAAGATCATAAAATAAAAGTCTGCATATTCTTATCAATATGGGCCATTATTGACTCAGGGAAGAGAATCTTTCAGGTATAGTAAAGGTAGCGATTAAGAAAAAAGTCAATTTAGATAAAATAGTATGACTACTTAAAGAAGAGGTGAGGGGCTTGCCAGCCCACTAAATAATTTTGGATTTAGTCAAAAATGTTTTTTGTGCAGGTATTCTAATTAGTTCGAGAGTGAAAAAGGGGCAGACTTAAGTATATATACCTAAATAAAAAATACGAGGGATCATACTCAGTTTACTAAGATCCCAACCTAAATCTCTATCATGTCATTGGAGAAAAAAAAAATGCAGGATTTAGAGAGATTAAGCTTTTATCCCGAACCACCTAGGAAAACATCAAAACAAGTTTTAATATCAACATTTGTTTAGTTGAAGGCCTCATAAATAGTAGGAGGTTTATCAGGAAAAGAAAAATGAGAATTCCTAGGACTATAACTACCCATCATTAAAGCTTTCCAAAGCCTGTTAGTAACCAATTTTTTTAGTGAAATGACATAATATTTATAAATAAAGAATAAAGATATGGGGTGTTAGGGGATCCCCCTGTTGAATATCTCGAGATGGGTGGAAGCTCTTATTAGGAACACCATGAATTAACTTGTATAACTGGGGTGTTAATGAATCTCATGACATAATTAGTCTAGATGATAGTAAAACTTAAGGATATCTTTAATGAAGTTCTAGTTCATACGACTATAGGTTTTCTCCAACTCAACCTTATAGCTATATAACACTTATTGCCATTGTATCCTTTAATAGTGATGATAGATTCTTAAGCAATAATAATATTAAAAATATATATATATATATATATATATATATGCCTTTAAGAACTGATCTGGCATGATTTTGCTGAATAAGAGATTAAAAACCAACTTGACCCGACTCGTAAGATTTCCGTTACCACCTTATAAATGACATTGCACAAGCTTATGAGCCTGAAATCAACAAACAGCATGCAAGCATCGTTATTGAGGATGAGGGTGAAAAAAGGTAATTTCCGAATATCTTTGATATTTTCCGAAGCCATTAAAAACTCCGTGAACAAAATTACAAATATTAAGCCTAACAGCATCCGGTGCTTTTGGTAGAAGCACACATGGAGACTAATAAGAGCCAAGGCTTTAAGGAGATCAATATATGAAAGCTTCTCAACATCTCTGATTGGGTGAGCTAACTTGATGGTCTTTGATGGCATTATACAAGGTAGGCGGCGATCATGATGGAAGGAGGGGGTGGGATTTGTTATATACATAATAAAGATTTAGATAAAACTCCCTTGTAATGTCTGTTAATCTAGTCAGGATCCTCGATAAACTTTATTCGTACTGTTAGTACAAGTTGGTCGTTGTTGGGACGTTCAGATCTTGTAAGGAATTATGGTAATAACTCATGTTCTCGTCACTCTAGTTGTCCTAGTAATATTAGCTTTTCCAAACTGAAATTTCTTTTTTTCTTTTAAGGAGGTTCGAGAGTTGGGCTTTAAGTATTATAACCTACAAATAGGCCATGTAAGGAAGTCTCCAGCCTTGAGAGATTTTGAATTTTGAGAATCTTGTGTTGTAACTGGTTTTTTGACCAGGTGATGTGGCCCAAAGTTTTATGATTCCACTTTTTCAATGTCCATAAAAGAGGAAATTATGAAGGGTATTGGGCTCTCATTAGACCAAGCTTGGGTAATAAAGCTCTTCATATCTAAGTAAATTTCCTAGATAGCCTCAAATCGAAAAGGTTGCCCCATAATTAAGCAATTAAAGTTCATAAGTAAGGTAATCTTAATAGGCAAGTTGTTAACCACAAAGGATCTCCCTTAAAAGTTCGAGAAAGCTTTGCCAAGGTGCTTCTAATAAGATCCAGACCAAGTGCAGTTGGCCTCATGAAACACAAAATAATGAGGGACGTTTAAGCAGAAGATGGGGGAATGTTTAAATATTTCTGTTTCATATATTATATCACAAAATAACAAAGAATATAGATAGTATTAAACTTTTATCGATACTTATGGATCTTTTATATCAATTTAATTTTTGAAAAATATTCTTTTATTATACAATGGCTGCAAATTCTTATAATATAATCTCTATTTTTCTTAAAATGATAGATATCTAATTATACTTATATAATTTTATGGAGTTTAAATTATACTCAATAACTGTTTTAAGAAAATGAAGTGACATTGATAACTCAATATTTTTAACTATAAATTATTTTTTTATAAGTCATTTATGGTAAAATTAAATCTAAAATATAGTCCTATATAACTGTTATTGTATGGACTTTTACTTACATATGCAGTAAAAAAAATTTTATAGAAATTTATTTTGAGTTATTCCGATAAATTTGTTTGTGACAGATGATATAGTCATTTTACCAAATCTGCAAAGAGATCAACCAGCTTATACAATATAAAAAATAACAGTACAAAATAGATTCGGATTCAATAATGTTCAATTACATTGATTTATGACTAAAAATTTACATAAAACTATATTAGTCAAGGATGTTACCATTGCATTGTATACTTCTCGAACATTTATTATTTAAACAGACATCATAAAAATTTTCAAGTGAAATTTAAATATTATATTCTAAGTTCTCTCAAATTTAATATAAAATTCATTAGTAGAGAATGTTAATTAATACTGTTCATCTTTTAAGGCTTCACACCCATTAATAGAGCATCTACACCTTATAATCTCCGCTCCTTCATCTTTTTCCTTTTCCATCCATATTGCAAGAAACTTCTCTCATCCCTTTTCGCATCAAATTCCAACAGAAAATATATTTACTGCTCCAAGCATATTGCAAATCTCGAGTTGCTGTTATAGCTACTAAAGAGCTTAGGTTTCTGAAGCTTCTTCTGCCCTGCTTCCACAGATAAGCAGATTTACTTACCCTACAAGATTTCAGAGAATGCCCCAGCTCGTGATTTCTTGTATAGTGCATTCACTGCTGATTCAATTCGCGCTCCGTCCTGATTCCAAATTCATGAGATATATGTCCTTACAATGCATAAATTAGGCGAAAGAGGCTTTGGCATCCAGAATTTTTCCATACCTTTCCCTCAACACGAATGATGATAGGTTCGTGTCTGGATTTGCGATAACAACCTTGATATTGAGAAGACAATGATGAATAGACATGGAATTAATTCAATCTAATGCAAAAAAATAAAAATAAAAATAAAAAAACCAGTTAATTCAGAAAACACTAACCAATATAAAGGTCTGGGAATTCAAGAGAAAGTTTTGATAGAACTTGAGCAGCTTCTACCTGCATTTCATGGAGAAAGATAAACAAGATGATGCATAAAAGCAACAATATTCCTTTGTTCTTTAATAAGTTTTCTTCTCTGTACTTGTCGAATAATATCCTCTATAAATTCTGCAAAGCATAAGTATCTTAATTCTCAACTCCTTGCAACTCATGTATTAAAACTCCTATACCATTTAGAGAAACTGACTATTCTCATAAATCTGTCAATGGTTTGTTCTAGAATTAATACATTCTATTTTAGCACTTCGCTGCGATAACACATTATATTACATGTTTATCACACTTCTTGATCTACTTATGGACATATATTGTACTCTCTCTATTCAAGATATCAAGAGAGCAATCAGTTATGGAAAATGGTTTCCTTTTCCATTACTGTCTTTGAAATTATTCAAAATTTTTTCGAGTAAACAATTATGTCAATTGCTAAAATTATCTAGAGACTAGTTGCAATTAGGTTGTTTAGTATATTATCATCAGCTACAAGAGTTGTAGCTTCTATTTGTTTTGCATGTAAGAAAGTAAGATTCAAATTTGAACCCCTTTCTCTACAATTTTTCTGCAAATATGTTCTTCCTCTTCAATATTCCTTCTTCGTTCTCTAAAATGTTTTTTTCACATTATGATCTACAATCCTGACAAATGGTATCATAGCAGTGAGATCTTCTCTTCTCTAGTGTTTCTCTTCTTCTCTTGACCTAGTTCTCTCTCAATCCAAATCCTTTCTCTCTTCATCTAATTGCTTTCAGAAGCCAATTGCCATGGCTGATTACAACCACCTAAAGCATATAGAGAATACATTAAAAATCATGGATCGGAGGTTAAACAATTTCATGAAAGCTATGTGTGAAGTAGCACTTGTGCAACAAGAAGCTTCACAAGAAAAAGGGTTCCCAACAGAGCAGAAGTTCAAAGAGGAGATGGCAACATTGCAGTCATGGAGAGAGAAACCCTATCTATCAGCACCTACTTCATCAAACAGAGGTCTTCAGTTAGCTTGTTCTAGGAAGGGTTCTCCAGATTCTATTTCTTGAAGAATCACCCTTCATCTTCCACGACAAGCATGACTTCTTCTTATCCTTCGAGCTCACTGTTGTTCAAGAAAGCAGGAGAAGCAAATCGGTTCTCATGCTAGGGGAGTTACAGTACAGACAGTTGATCTTTTCTCTCCAAGGGTGGAACTAAAATCGCTCTAACAGTTACTGGTAAAAGATCTGATACTATATATTGATTTTTATTTGGGTTTATAGAGGAATTTTTTTGATGAATTACAAAACACTCAAGTGGAGGATGATGTGCGCCAAGTGTTCAATAAAAAGTGGATGTTAAAACACTAGTTAAAAAGTAAGGATTGTGAAATTGCATGCCCAAGAATAGGGTGTTAAAGATTACACCAAAAACAGTATTAGCAAAGTTGAGTCTTCTCCTTTTCTCTTTGAAATAAAAAGTATAGTATAATCATTAATTCACAAGCACCAAGGGAGTGTCACCTAACTACAAAAATATTTATAAGTCACTTTTTAAAAAAAAAAATAAAAGCGAAGTATTATTAAGCACTAATACCAAGGGGTATAACCCGTATACAAAATAGTTACAAGTCTATTAATTGGTCAATGACCACACCCATATGATTCAGGTCTTTAATATCATGATCCAACAAAATAGATTCAAATGTGTGAATCCATCTATTTCTAATGTAATCAAGATTAGTCTCTACCGTCTCAAAAGTTCTAATATTTACAAGTCACTTTATATGTTAATAAAATCTCCAAGATCTTGTATAGAATGAATAGGATGCCCTATTGGTGCCAAGCTCAATAATGCAAGCTTGTCACCCAAGTGGGGACCCCAAGGTGGTTGAAGATGAGTTTGATCCAGATGGTTGGACTCTAGCGAGTAGATTACTGGCCCGCCCATTCCAAGAGAGCTGAGCCGTGGTTCTTGAGCATAGGTTGGGGACTCTTTTGCTCTTAGAGCGTATGGGAGTACATAAGGCTGGATATAGAACAGTGAATACCTCCCACTCTCTTCAGAAGAAGGATAATGGACCAGTGCTCTCTAGGTCCAGGGACATCCCGATAGGCCGACCTCAAAACTTGAGTTCCCTTTTGTCGTGAAGATACTATAAATTGAGAGCTAACGGAAACCATGACAATTTGGAGTAATAGGGTTTTGAAGAAAGAATTCACTAATCTTTTTCTTGAATTTGTGAATGAGAAGAGCTACATGGGGAAGGAAAGGTCATTGAATTGTTGATAGATAGCTAAGAGCTAAGTAAAGAGCTAAACTTACTAAAACTCCATAGGAGAAAGATGTGTATATACTATTTCTGGAAAGTCCACAGGAAAATAAAACATTTTGGAATCATACGGTAGTGATAACTCTATTGGTAAAGGATGATGGCCCTCTTTGGAACCAGTTACAATATCTTCAAAAGGGTAGTAAACCTTTTCTAATTCACGGTTGGCTGTATGCAAAGTCCCATCCTTATAAATACCTACACTTGAAGATTTTGCTTTTTCCTTGAATGGAATGCCTTAGATGAATTTACAAACTTGAGTTTTATTGTGATGAAATATGAGAAGAAAAGAAAGATCTCTATTTCTAAATTAATAATACATGGTATTATATAATAGGTTATAAGAGAAGAAAATTAGGAAACTAACTCATTTCTAAATAAAACACTAACTCATCAGGAAACCTACTCATTCCTAATAGGTTACCAGCTCATCAAGAAACTTAACCTCCTAATCCCTCAATTTATAGGATTTCTAATTAATTCTCTTAATCTCTTGCCAGCATATCTATATCTCGGCACTCTCCCTCAAGCTGAGGAACAAATGTCTTCCATTCCCATCTTGAATACAAGATCATGGAAGTTCGAACTGTTCAGCCCCTTTGTTAGACATCAGCTACTTGACGTTTTGATGGAAAATAGGACATACACACTAACCCTTCCTCTAATTTTTCTTCGATGAAATGTCTATCAGTTTCGATATGCTTTATCCTATCATGTTGTATAGAATTATGAGAAATATAGATAGCTGACTTGTTGTCATGATAGAGCTTCATAGGTCCTTCCCATTTGACTCTCAAATCATCTAGAATAATTTTCAACCAGAGTAACTCACATAATCCCTGAGCAATAGCCCTACACTCTGATTCTGCGGATGATCTTGCCACCACATTCTATTTCTTGGTCCTCCACGTTACCAGATTACCTATAAGAAAAGTACAATACTCTAGAGTTGATCTTCTGTCCATTAGAGAACCTGCATAGTCAGCATCGGTGTAAGCTTCTAGAGCAAGAGTGTCGCTCTTCTTGAATAAAATTCCTTTCCTGTATTGCTTTTCAAGTAATGCAGTACCCTGTAAGCAACTTGAAGATGAGGTTCTTTTGGATCGTGCATGAATTGACTAATCACACTCACTGAATATGCTACGTCAGGCCGAGTATGGGTAAGGTATATGAGTTTTTTGACCAACCTTTGGTATATTCTTTTATCAACAGCTAGTTCTTCTTTAACTTCTCCCAACTTATTGTTTGGATCTATTAGTGTAGAGACTAGTTTACACCCAATCTTCCCTGTTTCTGTCAATAAATCAATCGTGTACTTTTGTTGAGATATAAAGATCCCCTATGTGGAATATGTCACCTCAATACTGAAAAAATACTTCAGTTTTCCCAATTCCTTTATTTCAAATTCTTTTACTAGTCTCTGCGTCAGTTCTTGCTTCTCTCTCTCATCATTTCTAGTCACTATGATGTCATCCACATAGACTAGAAGTGCAGTTACTCCCCCCACAGCCGAATGTTTAATGAAGCTCTTGTAGTCACCTTAACTTTGTTTATATCCCAACTCCTTCAAGACTAATGCAAATCTCCCAAACCATACTTTAGGAGATTGTTTTAACCCATAAAGGGCCTTTTTCAGCTTGTATACCTTGTTACCTGTGTACCCTTCAAATCCTGGTGGGATATTCATGTATATCTCTTTTTCTAAATCACCATGGAAAATATATTCGTAACATCATATTGTGGGAGTTGCCACTTGAAGTGGGCAGCCAATGACAAAGGAATACTCACTATGTTCATTTTTGCAACTGGAGCAAAAGTCTCCTGATAATCTACCCCATAAGTTTGAGTATATCTTTTAACCACCAATTTTGCTTTATATCTCTCAAGGGATCCACTAGCCTTGTATTTTAGTGTGAAAATTCATTTACTATCAACAATGTTTTTTCTTTTGCTTTATCAACAATCTTCCATGTTTTATTTTTTTCTAATGTACTCATCTCTTCTCTCATAGCATCCCTCCATTCTCTTTTTGACAATGCCTTAGAAACAATGTTAGAGATAGTAATGACGTTTAAACTTATAATGAATCTTTTGTGGAATGGTGATAGGTGCTTAAGAGAGACATAGTGAGATAGTGGGTAAAGCGATTGTTTGGTGCATTTTCTGATACCTTTTCTCACACCAATGGGAAGGTCTAGATTGTCTTTTAGATTATCAAGTGTTTCAACAAACTGTATATGTAAAGGTGGGTCAGATATTAACGTGATCTCATTTCTAGAGCCTGGGTTGGATTCTTGGGCTTGTATCAGTTCTAGAACGGTCTTTCTCCTTGAATACACCTGAGTGAACCTTGGTAACTTTTGTCTTGCACTGGCAGGAATAAGAGGTGATACGGGTTCAATAGTAAAATTGGGTGACTCGGACGTGATTAGGTCAGAGGTCTCGGATTCAACAACATGGGCTGAAACCTGAGGAAGGTCAAGGGTTTTAATTGGTTCAAATGATTC